CGTTCTTAAAGGGGCAGCACTCAACATCCCGGGCCCCCAATGACCCAAACAGGTCATTCAAATAAAGGAAGGGTGATGCCTCAACTAAACTAGTTCAACTGATAAAATTGGCTTCCAGGAGACAGATTTTATCCACAGGACGGCTGAAGACTCCTGCCTGTGTTTTCACTTCCACAGTACGCACAAGTCCATCTGTACCTGGATAAACTTGAGTAATCAGACCTAGTGGCCAGTGATTGCATGGCGTATTTTCATGCAGAATGATCACGAGATCTCCTACTTGAAGATTCCGCTTTGGTTGTAGCCATTTTTGGCGTTGCTGCAGTGCAGGCAAATATTCTTTAAGCCATCTCGACCAGAAGATATCTGACAGATACTGGACCTGGCGCCATCTGCGTCGGTAATTATCTTGTTTTACGAAGGCTCCTGGGGGTAGAGTTGGACCGGAACAAAGTAACAACAGATGATTTGGGGTGAGTGGAAGAGGATCTGATGGGTCATCTGAGAGTTTAGTGATTGGTCTACCATTGACAATAGACTCAACGCAACAAAACAGTGTTGTTAGACCCTCGTCATCTGGTGCCTGCTGCAATAGGACAGTGTTTAAAATGGAACGAACGGTGCGAATTTGTCGCTCCCAAACACCACCCATATTTGTCCCTCCCAAACGCCACCCATGTGGGAGGCGGCAGGTGGATTGAAAATCCATTTTACGTTGTTCTGCAGCAGGTAATCAGAAATCTTTTGTTGATTCCATTCACTGATGGCTTTCCGCAACTCTCGTAATCCACCCACAAAATTAGTCCCGTTATCTGACCGTATTTCCGAAGGTGGGCCTCTCCTGGCGATGAATATCTGTAATGCGTTGATAAAGGAATCAGCATCTAGGGTGTGTGCGACTTCGAGATGAATAGCTCTCGTAGTGAGACATGTAAACAAGCATCCGTACCTCTTTTGTTCAATGCGTGCCTTCTTAATCAAGAATGGCCCGAAGTAGTCTATGCCCACTCGAGTGAATGGAGGCTCACACGGTGTCACTCTAGAGTCAGGTAAGTCTGCCATTTGCTGGGCTTGCAGCTTAGCTCTTAACTTGCGACACTGTAAGCATGACTTGAGAGTTTGGGTAATGACAGCACGTCCCTTTAAAATCCAGAAACGCTGATGAATTTCTGTAAGAACTCGTT